ATTTCTGATGGTCTTCATTCCTTCCTGAAGATCCAGCTTTTCATCTGGCATTATTTCCTTCCAGGCTTAAGAATTACTTTTAGTATTTTTGATACTATACATATGCTGGTGACAAACTGTCCTTACGTTCATTTATTTGAGAATGTCATTATTTTGCCGTTATCCATGCAGGATATTTTTGCTGGATGTAAAATTCTGTATTGAGAGATTTTTTTACTTAAATTTTAGCACTTTAAAGATATATATTTTCCAGATTCTTTCAAGATTTTTCCTTTATATTTGATTTTCAATAGTATGATTATGCCGTACTTGGGTGTGGTATCCTGCTTGAGGTTCACTGAGCTCCTTTTGTTTTCTTTTTGAGGAAGATTAACCCTGAGCTAACTACTGCCAATCCTCCTCTTTTTGCTGAGGAAGACTGGCCCTGAGCTAACATCCATGCCCACCTTCCTCTACGTTATATGTGGGATGCCTACCACGGCATGGCATGCCAAGTAGTGCCATGTCCCCACCCAGGATCCAAACCGGTGAACCCCGGGTCGCCGAGAAGCGGAACATGTGAATTTAACTGCTGCGCCACTGGGCTGGCCCCCACAGAGCTCCTTGAATCTGTAAATTTATGTTTCATTATATTTGGAAATATTTCAGGCATTATTTTTTAAATATTTTTCTTCCTCTTCTTTTGTTCTTTGCCTTCTGAGACTCCAATTACATATATGTTAGAACTTTGATATTATCCAGCAGATTACTGAGGATCTGTTAATCTTTTTCAATCGTTTCTCTCTCTGTACTTCAGATTGAATAATATCTATTAATTTGTTTTCATGTTAACTTACTCTTCTTCTTTCATTTTCAATCTGCTGTTAAGCCCACCCAGTGAATTTTACCTCAGATATTTTAATTTTCAGTTCTAGAATTTGCATCTGATTCTTTTTGTTTCATTATCTCTGCTATAATTTTCTTTTTTTTTTTGAGGAAGATTAGCCCTGAGCTAACATTTACTGCCAATCCTCCTCTTTTTGCTGAGGAAGACTGGCCCTGAGCTAACATCCGTGCCCATCTTCCTCTACTTTATATGTGGGACGCCTGCCACAGCATGGCTTGCCAAGCAGTGCCAAGTCCACACCTGGGATCTGAACCAGCGAACCCCAAGCCTCGAAGCAGAACGTGCAAACTTAACCGCTGAACCACCAGGCCGGCCCTCTGCTATAATTTTCTATTTTTTCATTTATTAAAAGTGTATTTTTCTTTATGTCCATTAGTGTAGTTATGATAGATGACTTTAAATCCTTCCCATCATCTGGTCCATCTGATTTACACTGATTGCCTTTTCTCTTGAGTATAGGTAATATTTTCTTGTTTCTTTGTTTTTGTTTTTTTCTAGTAATTTTGGAGTGTACCAAAATTTTTGAGAATGATATATTGTAGGATCTCTATATTCTTTTTTCTTTCTCAGTAGAGTATTGCTTTTTTTTTGTTTGTTACAGTAGGCAGTTAATGTGGCTGAACTGAAACTCCAAACTCTCCCTTGTGGTGGGCAGCACTAAAAACTCTGTTTAATTCTTTCAGCTTTATTTAGGCTCTTTGGATTTGTCCCCGCATGCATAATTTATGGTTCCACCAGAGATCTGGGCAGTTTATACACAGAACTGGAGTCTTCCACTCTGTAGTTCTCATCATTCTTGGATTCTCTCACCCTTTCCAGCTTCGGTGGTCATCCTAAACTTTCTTCTAGTTCTTCAAGCCACTAGGAATCTGAACAGTTGTGCTAGGTAGCCAAATGGCAATGGCTTGTGAAAGCCAACTGTGCACATCTCTTCCCAACTTCACGTTGATGGAATTGTTCATGGTGGGAGTATTTACACTATGGAAACTGGGAAATTCTATGAATCAGGCTTTTATTTATTTTTTCCTGGAGAGCCAGTTGTCAAACATTTAACAGCTGCAACACCTGTAGTTTCTCTAGAGTTTTAGTTACTACTTTGGCCTGAGGCCTGCCCTTAGGTAAAAATTCCTAAAAAAGGGAAAACTCACCTAGGTGTTGTTCCTTTCTTCCAATTGTCAACTCTCTTCTAATTTATTCCTGCTTATGATTACTTTCCAATACATTCAGATTGTTGTTTTGTTTATTTTTGTTCAGAGTTTATTGCTGTTATCTGCAGCAAGATTGGTTTGATACAAACTGCTCTACCACTACCAGAAGTGGTCCTAGTAAGGTTTTCTGGGGTTTGCATGTACTGAAAACATTTATGAAAATGCTATTAATTTTCCACACAGCTAAAATTGTATGACTTAAAGAATAGTTTTTGTTATAAGAGTGTCTTCATCTAACTTATTTGTATTAAATCTTTTTTAATATTTAAAAATTGATGGTACCTTAGGTGGTTTATTTGTATGGTATCTTTATTTGACAAAAATAGAAGTTGCCCACTGTAATGGGTTGAATAGTGTCTCCCAAAAATTCATGTCCACTCAGAACCTAAGAATGTGATCTGATTTGGATGTCCAGTCTTTGCAGAAGTACTTAGTTAAAGATCTTGAGATGATATCATCCCAGATTTACGGTGGGCCCTAAATCCAATGACTGGTGTCTTTATAAGAGAAAAGACATGGAAATTTGATCACACAGAGACACAGAGGAGAAGACAATTTGAAGACTGAGGCAGAGATTAGAATGATGCTACCACAATCCATGGAATGTCAAGAGCCACCGAAGGTTGGAAGAGGCAAGGAAAGATTCTCCTCTAGAGCCTTTGGGGGAAGTGTGGCCATACCAGCATCTTGATGTCAGACTTCTGGTCTCCAGAACTGTGAGACAATAAATTTCTGTTGTTTTAAGCCACCAAATTTACGGTAATTTGTTATGCCAGCCCTAGGAAATAATACAGCAACTTTATGCCAGTTCATAACGTTTCTTTTTGCAGTTTTGCTAATTCATTAAATCCAATGGACATTTACGCAAAAAAAATGTACACACAAAATTGTGTACCTCTTCAGGAAGGATTGTGCATAGCTATGTGCTCACATACACACTTGCTTTATGTACAACTTACATGTTGCTTTGGTAGACAAAAATACTGTACGTGGGGTCAGCAGTCTGGGTGCTGGTCTTGATTCTGTCACTGATTTACTATGACGTGTGAGCTATATTTTATTCTGCAGGCTAGTTTCTCTTTCTGCACAATGAGACGGTTGTCTTTATGGGTCTTTCAGCTTAGTGACTCTGAGCCTATGGATCCCTATCTATCTATATATTCGATGTATGGGTATATGCTTTTGAAGAAGTGTAGTTAGAGTGGGGCACATGTGCCTCACTGGACAGGAGTAGAGAGTCTTAGGAATATAGAAGGGAAAACCCCAACAGGCTAGTAGTTTAAGTAGAATTAGCACACTGTGGGAAAATTTTTAAATGCTTTCCATGTCCCAGTCACTGTATATATTGAGGCAAGTATACTTAACACACCCAACATAACTCATGTTCAATTAGATGCCCTGAATGACCATTTTGATTCTCTGACTAAATGGGCTGGAAATCACAGTATGAGGGGTTTGATTAAGAAAACTTTTATGCTAATCATTATATGTATGTGGAAGCTGAATTCTTTGATAGGGGCAGCTCTTTACAGATATGCTCATATTTGCATTGCCCCTGAAACACTCAAAATTTAGTGTTGTGTCTGTGATTTCTGGTCCCATTTGGGGACTTACCTTTGGAGAACTTTTGAAATTTGGTAGTCTGTATTTCACTCTTCACAGATCAACTCCTCCTTCACTTGAGATTTTCCTGTTTTAGAGCCTAGATTGTTAGGCCTGAAAGGATCTTTCAAGATCATCTATATCCATTGCCATTCATTTTTCTGTTGAGGATAATGAGGGCCAGATTAAAGAAGTTACTTGTCAAAGGTAAGGGTGGGGTAATTTTCAAAGGCAGGACTCAAACCTAAGTTCCTTTACTTTATTCTTAGCCTAGGTTTCTTTCCACCCTCAGTTGCATTGTTACTGTACTTTGCTCAGTTTGTTTTTCTGCCTTAAGGGGAATATAATTCTTTTATACTTTGAGTTAATTAATCTCCTTCCCCGCCTTGGTCTCCTCTCCCCCCTTGTGCAAACTCATATGTAGGCTCACAACCTTATGTACACCTACATTCCCTTCAGGAGTTTTTAAAAGGAGAGCATTGTGGTTTTGCTGCTTGTCTATTTTGCCTGGAGGGAAGCTCCAGCTGACAGTTCTGAATTGGGTCCACACTTCTACTTGGTTGGGGGTGGGGGTGGCAGTTAGGTCATTAGGAGATCAGTGTGGCTGAACATTTTCTTCTTAGTCGGGTGAGAATGACAATCTCTTTGATGTACATTTTTTAGCTCATTATTGCCCTCAAAGATGGAATGTGAACAGACAGGACTGTCAAACCTTTATTTGGAGCCTGGGCTAAGAAGGCACGCCTATAGGGATGTAAGGGAGACAGACCACTTATCTTCTGTCTTGGAGCAGCTAGTAAGCATCACACATCAGCTACGATAATCCATACTTCCTTTATCCTCCTATTTGCTCTTACTCTTTTGCTCTCTTTCTCTTCCCCTTGCTTCCTCTGCTCCTCCACTTCTCTCTGAGCTTCCCTGTATTTCTCTACTTGATACCTTAAAAAATAAAACACTACTTTAGTCTTTCCTGAAACAACCACAGATCCAAAGCCTTGCAGCGTGGTATTCAGAGCCCCAGCACAGAGCCGCGTGCTCAGCACCAGGCAGTGGTGAATCCAAATCTAGCAAAGGGGGAGGGGAGGAGGGAGAGGAGGGGGAGGGGAGGAGGGAGAGGAGGGAGAGAAGGAGAGAGAGGGAGAGAGGGAGGGAGAGGGAGAGTGAGGGGGAGAGAGAGAAAGAAAAGAGACTGGGGGGGAGAGGGAGAGAGAGAGAGGGAGAGGGAGAGAGAGAGGGGGAGGGAGGGAGAGGGAGAGGGAGGGAGAGGGAGAGGGAGGGAGAGGGAGGGGGAGGGAGAGAGAGAGGGAGAGTGAGAGCGTGAGCGCGCGCAAGCTAGCGAGCAAACCAGAGACAGACGAGAGAAGGATCAGGAGAGAGATCCAGAGAAAGAGAAGAGGAAGCCGAGCTCTGTGGGGGCTCAACCTCCAACTTGTTTCAGTTCATTCATCCTTCTCTGCTCTCCGCTTCGAGGAAGTGACTGTGGCGCTTGGTAAGAAACATAGACGTCCCTCCTTCCCCCTCCCCCAAGCTCAGGTCTCCTTTAGCGATAGCATCTCTCCCCCGTACTGAGAGTCTCCTTGGGTTGGCAGGGGAGGCGAGACATGCTCTGCAGCTGTGATGCTATCCTGGGTTCCCCAGTGGGGCTGATGGAAGCCCAGAGTCAGCATCTGGGCAGGGAGGCACTAGGGTAAAACCTGATTTGGGGAGGGGGTTGCGATGTGGTGTATGCGCGATTTGCTTCATTGTCAGTGAATTGTTTTGTTCCTCTTTGGAAGCAGGTCAGCACTGACCTTGCAAATTGCTTGGGGGGCTCACCAGCTGCTGCAGAAAGCCACCGAGTGGCCCCCAGCCAGAGCAGACAGCACTGTCATGACCCCCCAGACAGCTCTAGGCACGGGGATGGGGTAATGGCTGGAGCTTCCTTCCTCCTTTAACTCTTTCTCTGCAGCTGCTTCTTGTTGCTGGAAATGAGAAAGAAGGAGAATACCATGCAGCTCCTTTCCTCTTCTCCCCATTACCTCCCCCAGATACAAGTGAGTAGAAAGTTGTAAATAACTGCTTCCTTTGAAAGCAGGTTGAGACCTTCCCCCTTCCTTTAAGGGGCTCATTGTGGGGTTGGGCCTGAGTTCCTTCACAAACTTGGGAGGCTTCTCTTGCTTCCCTATGGGAAGGCCCATTACCTGCCCACTCCCCATCCCAGGTAGTTGAGCTGACAGGCTAGACCAGGGATTCAGATACCCCACCCATCTCACTGGTAGGCATGGTATTAGGTGCAGCTGTGTCCTTGGGAGAGAGGAAACACTTGATGGTTGGTCTGGAACTGGCTTCCCAGTTTGCTGCCTCTCTAACTGTGGCTGTGGGTGGCATAGGCAGGAGGACTAGGGGAGGGGTGGCTGTTGGATTTAGAGAGAGCAGGGTGAGGAGCCAGGATTCCTGGTGTGAATGGTATGGTTTATTGGGGGTCTGGAGATTCTGGATGTCTGGAGCTATGCAAGGACGGGCTGAAGCTCTTGTGGTATAGCCCCTTTGAATTGGTAGGGGAAGGGGTCAGGCTGTTTGATGGGGGCCTTTTGAGTTAGCGCCACTGCCATGCCCCTGGTAGTAATTATAACATCAACAATACTAATTGCTAACATTGATGACTGCTTAGTATGTTTTGGATCTTAGGCTGAGGGTTTAATGTGTATTATTCTTACATCAACCCTTTGAAGCAGACACTATTATTATCCCTGGTTTACTAATGAGGAAACTGAGGCACAGAGAGGTTAAATAACTTGTCCAAGGTTACAGAGTAATTAAAGGTCCCAATTGGGAATTAAAACACAGGCAGCCTGGTTCCAGAAGGCATTGTCTTGACCATTAAGCACTACTGCCTCCTTGGGGAGAATTTTGCACCTTTGTTAAGCAAATGTAAGTACTTGGCGAGATCTTTTTGGAAAGTAGTAGCTTGGCCTTCGTGTACAGTAACGGAAACTTAGAGTGGGGCATAGTGGCTGCATCATGGAGCCAAGCCTCACCTGGGTTTCCTGGAGGGGCTGCCCAAAAGGCTTTCCTTTAAAAAGGATGCTGGGAAAGACTTCACTTTTCCACTATCATAGCCTCATCCATCTCACATCCAGCAAAAGGCTGCTCCTTTTAGGACCAGATCTTGCTCTTATTTTCTGACAGCTTGGAGTCACCCTGTCCTGAAAATTTTAGAACATTCAAACCTTGGAACTGGAAGGATCTCTAAGGGTCATTAAGCTTTACTTCACCCAGTTCTTGAATCTGTCCTAAACATTCAATTCGTTGACTAACTTCTATTTGAACTCCCTGCAGTGACAGAGAGCTTATTAGATTGTTCTTTCTATCTTTGAGCAACTCTGATTGTCAGAAAGTAATCCCCATTATAAGCCAAGATCTGTGTCCCTGTGACTTCTATTCATTGGTTCTTTGGGCCTATCTGGAACAAATTTGCTTCTTCTTAATAATAGCTCTTCAGATAGTTGAAGACAGTAATCATACCTCTCCCCTCAAACTTCAGATCTGCCAAGACCACAAGTAAAGGGTCATCATTTGCCTGATTTTGCAGGCTAGACTTATTAATATGGCCTAGTACACCATTCTCTTGTTTGTCAGCCACAAACTGATAGTACTGAGCTTTCTAAAGCAGCCTTGATAGTATGTGTTCTCTTCCTTGGTAAAGCTTGCTATCTGATAGCAAGTGGACTGATGGGAACAAAGAAGCTCTCTTTTCCTAAAGACCAGAAATTAGTTGGTGCTAGTCCTTCTGAAGCCCCAGAATAGCCCCATATAGCAGCCAGACAATAGACATGTGGTAAGATTTGAGAAGCAGGGATTAAGGGCAATTCTCATAAAGAAGACACTTGAAATAGTATGATTCAAGGTTCACACAGTATATGGAAGGTAGATGAATAAATTGTTATATCAGAAAGTATCTCAGAAATAATGACATCACTGAGGGGTTGGTACAAAGTGAGATTGGGTGGAATAAGAGTGAGCATGCAGTGTGCTAGAATGGGAAACTGACTTGGGTGTTAGAAAACTTGAGTTCTATTCCTAGCTTTGCTAATTTGCCAATTACCTTAGACACATGACTTATTCTCCATGGACCTCATGGATCCAAGTTTTTCCATCTATAAAATGATGAGGTGGACTCTGTCACCAAGGGTCTTTCAGCTGTGCAGTTCTCTAGCTGAAGTAAATTATAACATCTCAGTGTTCTAAGGGGCTTCAGAAATCATCTAGGCCAGTGCTTTTCTAACTTTAATGTGCAAAAGAATTCCCTGGGGATCTTGTTAAAATGCTAATTATGATTTGAGGGTCTGGGGTGGGGCCTGAGATTTTGCATTTTAACAAGCTGCCAGGTAATCCTGAACCTGCTGTTCCAGTGCTTTTCAAACTGTCTTGGTGAAGGACCAGTTTTTTAAAATTTCCAATTCATCACAGACTGTTATTTAGTAAAATACATTAACTGCAAATTACTAGAAAATGAAAGAAAAGACATACAAAATATAAACTCACATTTTTATTATCAGATTCAACAGACGTAAAATTATTTTCTTCAAATTGCTCTAACATTTTGTAAGTGCTTATTCTCAATTTCTGCACTTAGGTCATCGCTGCCTAGCAATAAAAGTTTGCAGACAGGCACTGATCTCTGGACCACACTTTGAGCAGCGCTGGTCTAGGCTACATGCCCATCGTAAGAGGCCCAGATTGGGCCCAGTTATAATTTCTGAATCATCTCTGCCAGATGATCTTTCACATTCAGGTTAAATCTCTCCTTTGATAGAGAACTTAATATCCTCACAAAGTGGCATTACTCAGGTGTTGTGACTGCCATAAAGATTTTTTTAAAGCTTCTATAAATTCCTTTCTTAGATTATATATTCCAAGCAAGTAGGGGGCTATATCAGTCCAGTTTATTGTATCAACAGCCACTAGCCTAATGTGTGGCACAGAGTAGATGCCTAGTGTATGTTTGTTAAGTGAATGAACAAACCATTTGGTGTTAGTTATGCTTTTTGGGGCCATACATTCATTAAAGAAAGGTTTCCCTCCAGCATTTTAGAGGCCTATTTTATAAATTTCTTGTGGTGAATAGAAGGCCAGTTTACCTGTCCAGGAGAGCTACCTGGCATCCCAATTTTCCTTTGAAGGAATTATAGGAAACCAGACAAAGATTTTGTACACTCTAAGCCCCAAGTCTTTACCCTTAACTCAGTCATTCATCAGTTCAGTCATTCAACAGCTATTTATTCAGTGATGTGGTTAGGCACTGTGCAGATGATATGATACAAAGGTGAGCCAAACGGACACAGTCCTTGCTTACTTGGAGCTTATAGTTTGGTGTGGAAGAGACCATAAATCAGATAATCACACAACTGTGTTGTTTCAGTCAGCAATAAATGCTATGAAGGAAAAGTAAGGGGGGGAGTGGGTTTCTGAAGGTATGTAACAGAGGAAACCTATCTAGCTTGGGGTTTAAGAAAAGCTTCCTTGAAGAAGTGATATTAAGGCTGTATAGAGACATGGAGATGAAGTGGGGCTGCTGGAGGGGGTGGAGCAGTTTTTTTAGATGTAGGTAAGAGCACGTACAATGTCCCTGAAATGGGAGAAGCATAGCGAATTTGAGAAATTGAACAAAAGCTGACGTGGCTGGAGTGGGCCATTGTAAGGATTTTGGTCTTTATTCCAGAAACACAGGGGCTGATTAAAGGCTTTTAAGCCAGGTGACTGATATGGCCTAGACTGAATCCATTCAGTATAATGTTACTAAGTGCATACTATGAACCAAAGGCAGTGTGGGAGATACAGGCTGATTTAGAAATAGCCTCTGCCCTCCAAGATGACACAGTCAAGTAAGAGAGAGAGGAAATAAACAAACAACTAGAATACTAGAGGAATGAGATCCACACCCATAAAAGAGAGGCTAAGGGCTTGCAGCCAAAGTGATCAAAGACAGCTTCCTGGAAGTGGTGTTTGAACTGGGCTTCAAAGCTTAGACAGACTTTGGATATGCAGAGGTTAGGGGATGAGAAAGGTGTTTTAGGCAGAGGCCAAAAAAAGCAGAGGAACAGTGAGGAGCTCAGTTGCGTTGGAGTAAAGTGTGTGGTGAAAGTATGTGAGAAACGTTTGGCAACATAGGTGGAGGGCTTGACTATAAATAATATTGCATGCTAGCCTAGAAAATGAAGACTTTGCTCTATGTGCAGTAGAGGGGCAACTTTCTCATTTTATGGTTGAGCAAACTGATCCTGTGAAGGGGAGTGACTTGATTTGACTGAGGTCACACAGGTACTAGTATTGCTATAGCCCAGCAAGAGGTACTGAGTACAGCTGAAAAAATGTGGAATTGGAGCTCTGGAAAGAAGTCAGCTGGAGAGAGTGATTTGAGAGTCATTGATATAGAGGCAATACTTGAAGTAGAAAAAAGGTATCCAAGGGTCTCTTCTTTGGGGGATGCTTATCTTTAGGATATGGGAA